TAACAGACCCCTTTGACCCCTACAGTGTCAGGTAACTCCCAAAGCTCTCTGTTTTAATGAATAGCTTTGTAAGAAAAGCAGCAGTGGAAGCATGACAGGAGGGAACGGCTCGAGCTGAGTTAGCAAGATCACAAAACGAAGAAATTCAAAACGTGTTCCAGGTGGCCTTTCTGGGCATGGCAGCAAGGCCAGATGTGATTAAAATATTTTCAGGTCATCAATCATTGAAGTTGACCATGTTTTACATCTGACATTTCACTGGACCAGTTTCCCAAATAAAGCGGTGTCCAATATAGTGGCCAACATAACCATCTACCTTTACTCAGAAAAAGACATTTTAAACTAAATACACAGTATTTGAAAATATCCCAATTTTTCACACTTAACAGCCTCTCGCAGATTAACCTGAAAGCACTGGCTAAACTCAAAACAGAAGCAAGGCCGCGCTGCCACTGACCTCCGCTGCTAGGGGTGAAGTGGGCTTCCGGCTGATGAGGCTAACGGCGGCCAAGGACGGGGCTGTGTATTGTTTAATATGGCAAGGTGGACAATGAATCATGGAGATTATTCCATTTTGGATCTTGCAATGGAATATTAGCCTTGGCTGAATGTCGATGCAAACACCAATGTGGTTGATCGTGATATTATGTCAATGTCAATCAAATCGGATGGTGTTGGTCCGATTTCCAATTTGAAAATCAGATTCCCAAATTGAAACTTATTTTTAACAACAACAATATACATTATCTCGTGTTTGGCGAGGTTGGAGCAAGTCAAACGTTGTCAAAAACGTACTCCGCTTGGTTCGTTGCTAAGGTGACCGGGGAGGTTATTAGTGGGCATTGCACTTGCATGGCTGGGTAAATCTGTATGTCTATGCTAATAATAAATGACATTGCTAACTGAATTCTATTAAATTAATTGTTGTGTTCCGTCATAACTTATTGCATACATAATTATTCCATACGTTTTGAAATGTTTGTGGATAGATTAGGTGAAGTGTGTAGCCATGTTGCTGCGATCCTTGTTGCGGTGGAACAGTGTGTGAGAGAGGGGTTGAATGCTCCATCTGTGACATCAGAGCCCTGTGTGTGGTCATTATTTAAATATTTATTTAACTCATCCAGGTTAGTTAGGTTAAATGTAAAAAATAATACTGTTATTGTTACATTACTGCATGATGGAATTAACATTAACAACGCTTAATAAATGCAGGAAAAAAATGTTGTTTACCATTCTCTTTTCTGAAATAATGCAGTTAGCTAATGTTACACAATTGTTTTGTTTTTATAAAGTGTTACGCATTGCATCTGTCAGCTGAATAGATAGCTAGACAACTGATGTAAACTGCTACTTTCCTAATTACAGCCCACAGAATATTTAGAAATGAAAACGGAAATAAACCCTTGCTTTTTACAATCAAACGTATCAAAACGCTAGCTATCTACATATGAAAACAATGACGGAGCCACAATGCTAGCTCAAATTTAGATTCAACATACTTAACTAGTGAACATATAGGAATACAAATTAATCCAGTAATAATTCACTTACAAAAACGTTGTTTACTTACCAGATATAAAATGTGTGCTACATATCCTCGAGTTGCTAGTCGGTATCCAGCCTTCTCTCTTCACTGCAGCAATCCAAGCGTCACGTTGTGTTTTGTTTTTCGGAAATCTAAACACTTTAATTTCCGACAGCAAGTTAGTTCCTGGCCTGAGAGAGCATCCAACCACCGAACAACATGGTCCTAGTTTTAATTTTGACATTTTTAATCGCAAGAATAAATAACCTGCCGCAATATCACTGTGTATAAACCGTCTCCCGCCAATGTTTTGAATGTGCGTGTCAACTAACCGGAAACATCCAAGGACCAAAGACGTCACTTCCTTACGTGAACGAATCGCCATTGAAATGGTCTATAAAAAATCAAATATGATCAAATAATTGTAGCCTTAGTGAGCGTAACAGACTTCTTTCAAAAACATAAAAAAATGATTGAAAATGATAAAAAATGTCTTCGTCTCGCCTTAAACAAGATTTTTTAATACGGTTTTATTTTGACCGTTAATTAAACGTAGAACCTGAAATGTGTCTGGTCATCTTATATTCCATCACGCTGCCCCCCTGAGGATGGAGCGGTGGGCCGGGCACACTCAGAACATTTCTCATTTAGTTTTTTCCTCTTCCCCAGTGTTGCCAACTTAGCAATTTTGTTGCTAGATTTAGCAACTTTTCAGACTACCCTAGCAACTTTTTTTT